TTAATTTCATGAAAACCAAATTCAAGAAATAACTTAATAAAAAGATTATCATCATTGATCTTTAAAGAAACCTAAAAATATTAGTAATTAAAAAAAGCGTTATTTAATAATAATGATTATATATAAATATAAGTTAAAAATAAAATAAAAAATGGGAAGCAATTAGTCTTGGGAATTAAAGGAGAGCGATCCTCTAAAATTCAAAACATTTATGATTTTATGATTTGTCAGAATATCTATTGTAAATCAATGCCTGAAAATAAAATTTAGACAGGACCTGATAATAAATAAAAAAATGTTTCCCACCATTAAAATGCTCAAAGTTCTGAAATAAATCAGAATTTAAAATATAAAACTTAAGATGAACACAGAATTCTACTAGTTCTATGAATGGAAATTTGGTTAGAAAGCATAGAACAAAGCGTAACGGATTGGTCGTAAAAATTGATTATTGATTAATATATTTATGTACAGATTTAAACTCTTTCTAAGTTATTTATGATTAAATTAATTACTTTTTGTTTTTTTAACAGATAAAAAATAAATTAAAAGAATTTGATTAAAAGTGAACAATTAAATATTTAGTGTTGATGTAAAAGTGAACCATATTAACCTTCAACTATAATTTAAAATCCCTTAGAATAATTAATTATGTTAAAAAAAACTGACTTTCAAATAAAATTTAGAGAAATTAAATGTTTAAGCTTTATGTCTCTTATTAAGAGTGAAAGTAACTGATCACAATGAAAAGTACAAATTAAATCTATTTTAATAGAGTATAATAATTGGAATTAGATGAATAAGTAAAATAATAAGAAGAAGCTTACAAAGAAGAAGCAAAAATATTATAACCAAAAAACAAGAGAGAAATGTGTATTGATTCCTATTATTAATGGAAGTGATTGGTGATACTAAATTACCAAAGTAATTCTTAGCAAATTGATAAATATAAAAACAAGTTAAGGGAATGCTGAAGATATTCTCTATGGAAGGAGAATATCATGATGTGAAAGAAAATCTCTATAAATTTAGATGTAGCTATATGGGAGGAATATATGAGATAGAAAAACCGATTTGAAATGATTTAAAAATGGAGTAATATAAATGCTATCCAGTTACAGATAAAAAAAAATATCTTATTAAAGATAAATAAGAAATTAGTGTTCTAATTGTTAAATAACTAATTACAGTTGTAAGATGATGGTATTTTGCTCCACGGATTATTCAATTCACTAGTTAAGAATAGTCTATTAATAAGATCAGTCAATATGATTATATTATTATCTTGAATACACATATATAGCATAAATCATTTCAAGAGATAGCAGTCTAGCAAAATAATACATGATAATCTCAAATATTCTTATAATTTGACTAATTATTAAATTGCAAGGAATAAATTTTCCTTAAGTCACCCATGAACTTTTTACCAAAATTAAAATATGACTTAATAGAATACATAATAAACAACTTAATTATAATTAAAATGTTTAAATAATAAACTACCAAAATATATGATTTTTTTATTATACATTAATAGAGTCTCTAAAATGCTCCTCGTATCATTTCTATTATATCTAACTATTATTCTATTGAATTGAAAAATTTAGATTTTGAGGAAGAAGAATCAGAGTAAATTACTTTTTTAGTTTTATTTATCTTAATTTTTCTCAGTTGTGAATAAATTATCAATAATATTATATAAGATTATTGCGACTACTATTAAAAAATTCCTTAAATCAATTAGTAAATTAAAATATAATCATATTTGTTTCTCTGGTAAAGAACTAAACGAGAATTGAAATTATTAAAAGAAAGAAATGAAAGTAGAAGATGATAAAGAGATGAATGAATATAAAAGAGAAATATTGAATTTTTAGGTAGAACAAATGAATTAGAGTAAAAATAAAAGCTCAATGAAATAAATGAAAATATGAAAGAACTTGATTTATTTAATGATAGTGATTCATAATTATTATCATTATCTCCTATAAATTATTCAAAATTAAATTTAGAAAAAATAGACAAGCCTAGAAGTACTTCGATTTAGTTTCAAAAGATTTCATAATAAAAGAGACTTTCATTGTAAGCAGGTTTAAATGTTAGGAGCTTAATACAACTTATTTAGAATTTATAGCTGATTGAGAGGAAAAGGTATTTTGTAACATAAATCCTAATTCAATATTAAAAGTAGATGAATTGGATTCAAGTATTATTTAATGTATAACTAGTATCAAAATTATCATCAATTATATTTCTTCCTGCTATTCCCCATTCATTTTTAATTAAATTCTTTTATAATCCATTTGGTTTTTTGTAATAATAAATTTAGGTTTTAAATAGATTTGAAATAGTTGCTTTTTATGCCACTGGACTTATAGGAACAGTGTTGTCTCAAATCTTATATATTCTTCAAGCGAGTTTTTTGTTTATTTTGATTTGATAAGTTTAAAACTGTAAGAAATTCACCAAAAATTTCTTAATCAGCAGATTATTCATATGCATGTGGATTCAAACATTAAAGGAAATAAATACAGTATAATTTCTCTAAAGAGGAAAAAATGAATAATGAAAAATATCAACATATTAGAAAAGAATTATAACAATCAATTAAAAAATTATATAAAGAATTTACTAGCTCATTTAAAATAGCTGAGATTAAAAATAATTTTCGAAATAGTA